TACGCAAGCTGCTCACATCGCTGCTGCCGCTAGTGCAGAGGAAATTCCCCATCGTTCGCTGCACTGCCGATGCCGAATTTGTGGTGGATTTTGCCGGGTTTCTGGTCAGGCCACCTGCCTGTGCGCAGTGCAATGAGTGCCTTGGGGTCTACAGCCGTCCCATCCCCTTCCTCATGCTCATCACTAACTATGCCTACCGACCTGTCACCACCCTTTTCAACCGCTTTGTATCCATCTTCTCTCCCCTCCCTCCCGAATTCGAATGACTCGCTGCTTGTATGGGTGTGCCTCTCGCTGCCAATGCGCCTGGCTATCTAAGATCGCCTGCGGTGCAGGCTCGAATGGAACAGCTTCCTGTTCTCTTCCTGCTGACTGTGGCTCTAAACTGGGCTGCCCCCGTCCTCGGAATCACGGACCTGAAGTTCCTACACAGGCTGCGAGACGGAAAGGAAGATGATGGGAGGGTGTGGGAAGAGGTGCAAATGTGGTGCCTAGCGGTGGAGCTTGCATGGCAGGGCGGCATGAAGCTGGAGGCTGAGGTATGAGAGACAGGTGCAAGGGCAGCAAGGGGCGAGCCAGTTGGGATGGAAAGGAGGGAGAGGTGTTTGCGAGTGCTAAGGGGCATGAGTTGTGGAGAAGGGCTGCCATACCCAGGTTCTGTGAAGACATGCAGGATGATTGTGGGCCTTCCGATGGTGCCAGTGGGAGCAGCAGCCGCAGCGACAGCTCTGGGAGAAACAGGAGAAACCAAGGGAGAATAGAAGATGATGGGACGGGCAAGGAGGGGGAGGAGGCGGCTTATTTGAAAGCGTGGCCCGGGGGAGTGAATTTGGTGGCATGTCTGCGAGAGATGCTGCTGGGGGAGCCGTGCTACTGCCCTGTCTCCCCTGCTGCCCCTTCCACCTCTGCTGCCCCTACCACCCCTGCTGCCCCTTCCACCCCTGCTTCCTCGTCCACCCCTGCTGCCCCACCGATCAGTGTTGTGCCAAACCATGCCAAACCTGCACCCGCTTTGGGTACAGAATACACTGGTACTGCTGTTGGTGGGGAGCGTAAGGTCGCAAGTGGAGGCGAACTGAATGCTATCGAGGGTGAGGGACTCCAGTGGAGGACAGAACACTTCTACAGGCGTCGCGGGTGTTCTCCCCTTTAAGGGTGTGCCACACAGCTGCTCGTCTTTCCCAGAGCCTCCTTCAATCTCAGGCTCTACCAGCTGCTGTGATTCCCTTCCCGCTAGTCCCGCGTCCTCTAACGAACCTGCTCCAGCTGTAGCTACCCCAGCTCCTACTGCCGCCCCTTCTGCCGCTGCCCCAGCTTCTGCTGCTGTGGTCACTGCTCGAGGTACTGCTGTTGCTCTAGGCAGCGCCGCTGCCCCATTCAGTAATAGAGGAGCGCCAGGTGGAGCCCCACGAGCGACAGCCTCCATGCGAGCCACCAGCTGCTGCGTGAGCGCCTGCAGCAGCCCCCGCGCCTCTCTCCGCGACACCGCCACAAACTCTGAGACCGATGGCTGACTGACTGACCCATGGCTGACTGACTGACCCATGACAGACTTACCAATGGCTGACTGACTGACCCGTGGCTGACTGACTGACCCATGACAGACTTACCAATGGCTGACTGGCTGACCCATGGCTGACTGACTGATCCATGACTGACTGACCGATGGCTGACGACTGACTGACCCATGGTTGACTGACTGACTTATGACTAACTGACTGACCTGTGGCTGAATGACTGACCCATGGCTGACTGACTGATCCATGACTGACGGATCTATGGCTGACTGACTGACCCATGACTTACCAATGGCTGACTGACTGACCCATGGCTGATTGACTAACCGATGGCTGACTTACTGACCCATGACTGGCTGATTTTCTGGCTGACTGACTGACCGAATGCTGACTGACTGACCTATGGCTGACGCTGACTGACTGACCCATAGCTGACTGACTGAACCATGGCTGACTGACTGACCCATGGCTGACGCTGACTGACTAACCAGTGGTTGACTGAATGAACCATGGCTGATTGACTGACTTATGACTGACTGATCTATGGCTGACTGTTTGACCCATGGCTGACTGACTGAACCATGGCTGCTGATTGACTGACACATGACAAACCGACCGATGCCTCACGGATTGACCCATGACTGCCTGACCCATGGCTGACTGACTGACCCATGGCTGATTGAATGATCGATGCCTGACTGATTGACCTATGGCTGACTGACTGACTCATGGCTGACTGACTGACCCATGTATGATTGACTGACGCATGTCTGACTGACTGACCCATGGCCACCTGATTATGGCTGACTCCTGACTGACCCATGACTTATCAATGGCTGACTGACTGACTGACTGACTTATGGCTGATTGACTGACTCATTGCTGATTGACTGACCCATGGCTGACTAACTGACCGAATGTCCGCCATGATCCTTATAAAAAACAAAAGGCCAGGCTGCTGCATTGATGGTCGAATTCACAAGCCAGCTGCGCTGAAAACGTACTTGACAAGCCAAGTTGATGAAACAGCCCCCTTGCAGCAGCCAGCCGCAGAAAAAAGGTTCTGGTCAGCCAGCCCGCCCTGCCAGCCAGCCAGCTTGCAGCAGTCAGCCACAGACGAATGGTTGTGGTCAGGCTGGGAGAGTCATATAGTGAGATGGGTGGGTAGGTACGGTTTCAGCAAGGTGGGGTGAGAGCACAGGCATGGCTTCAACAAGGGCAGCTCACGGCAAGAAGGGGTGAGAGCACAGGCATGGCTTCAACAAGGGCAGCTCATGGCAAGAAGGGGTGAGAGCACAGGCATGGCTTCAACAAGGGCAGCTCACGGCAAGAAGGGGTGAGAGCACAGGCATGGCTTCAACAAGGGCAGCTCACGGCAAGAAGGGGTGAGGGCACAGGCATGGCTTCAACAAGGGCAGCTCACGGCAAGAAGGGGTGAGAGCACAGGCATGGCTTCAACAAGGGCAGCTCACGGCAAGAAGGGGTGAGAGCACAGGCATGGCTTCAACAAGGGCAGCTCACGGCAAGAAGGGGTGAGAGCACAGGCATGGCTTCAACAAGGGCAGCTCACGGCAAGAGGGGGTGAGAGCACAGGCATGGCTTCAACAAGGGCAGCTCACGGCAAGAAGGGGTGAGAGCACAGGCATGGCTTCAACAAGGGCAGCTCACGGCAAGAAGGGGTGAGAGCACAGGCATGGCTTCAACAAGGGCAGCTCACGGCAAGAAGGGGTGAGAGCACAGGCATGGCTTCAACAAGGGCAGCTCACGGCAAGAGGGGGTGAGAGCACAGGCATGGCTTCAACAAGGGCAGCTCACGGCAAGAAGGGGTGAGAGCACAGGCATGGCTTCAACAAGGGCAGCTCACGGCAAGAAGGGGTGAGAGCACAGGCATGGCTTCAACAAGGGCAGCTCACGGCAAGAAGGGGTGAGAGCACAGGCATGGCTTCAACAAGGGCAGCTCACGGCAAGAAGGGGTGAGAGCACAGGCATGGCTTCAACAAGGGCAGCTCACGGCAAGAAGGGGTGAGAGCACAGGCATGGCTTCAACAAGGGCAGCTCACGGCAAGAGGGGGTGAGAGCACAGGCATGGCTTCAACAAGGGCAGCTCACGGCAAGAAGGGGTGAGAGCACAGGCATGGCTTCAACAAGGGCAGCTCACGGACGTGTTTTAAGCCCTCCTTCAAGGCGTCTTTCAGTATGCAAGGCCGAGCAGGCGGTTCAGCTTGATGGCTCTTCTCGTCAAGTGGGGTTTAAGCGCAGCCACTCCTTCCAGCATCGGGCTTCGTCTCAGAGTGGATAAGTCCGGCGTTTTGTTTTGGACAGGATCCTGTCAACAAGGCGGTTGCAGTCATCAGGTTGTGGTCAGTCATCCCATGGGTCGGTCGGTCAGCCATGGGTCAATCAGCCTTGGGTCAGTCAATCAGCCTTGGGTCAGTCAATCAGCCATGGGTCAGTCAATCAGCCATGGGTCAGTCAATCAGCCATGGGTCAGTCAATCAGCCATGGGTCAGTCAATCAGCCATGGGTCAGTCAATCAGCCTTGGGTCAGTCAATCAGCCTTGGGTCAGTCAATTAGCCTTGGGTCAGTCAATCAGCCATGGGTCAGTCAATCAGCCAGGGGCAGTCAGTCAGCCACAGGTCGGTCAGTCAGCCATGGGTCAGTGAGTCAACCATGGGTCAGTCAGTCAGTCACGGTTCAGTCAGTCAGCCGGGTGAGTCAGTTAGCGATGGGTCAGTCAATCAGCCATGGGTCAGTCAGTCAGCCATGGGTCAGTCAGTTAGCCATGGGTCAGTCAGTTTGCCATGGGTTGGTCAGTCAGCCATGGGTGGATGAGTCAGCCATGGGGTTCATGAAGTATCTGCTCAGCGCACTGCTCATCATCGTCTTAACAAGTCATATCACACTTCCCAACCCCGATTCATCCCTCCCATACGGCTCTTGCCCTACAGCATCTGACATATCATTGCAAATGATAGCGCCATGAAGGGATCAAATCAAACCCTTTCTTGCCCACGTGTTACAGATGACAACCCACTGAAAAGAGGTGGATACTGCCTGGAGGGAGGATGTGATGTTTGCATGTTAGATATGTGGGATGGAGAAAGAGTTGCTATATCATGTAGTGTACTTCATTACGAGTAGAACGCTTGTTGCTGCCACAAAATGGCTTATGATTTCCATTTGAGAAACCCATATTTGTTATGAATAGAGCTATTCTAGTGGCAAATATTATGTATGCAACATTCAAAATATGTCATAAGCACAAAATATGTGCCCATGCACAAGCCAAAGCTGTAGCTCCCACTTTTTATGTACGAAGGCCAATTTTCTCGTTCCATTTACCTGATCACCAAAGATTCTACCAGCATCCATTCCATTTATCTATTCAACAGGCCATATTTCCCCATATACCATATGTTTTGGTATGGCACAAACCAGAAGCTCTGGGTAATCTAGCAAGGTGCACGTGAAGACAAACTTGATTATGTGGAAAAGCCACTTGGCATGTCCCCTCGCTCCGCACGGGCCATTTCAGCAGTGAAGCTGGAGGAGCCAATGGAACTCCCAAGCTCCGTGTCCAAGCGAGATTTGGCCTCGCCCACATGGCTCTCATGTGCTCCAGAAGCTTCCTGCTTCAACTTCACCAGCTCCCCCAGCACTTGATTCATGGAGGGGCGGGAGGCCGCAGGCATGGTGGTGCAGGAGAGGGCAAGGCGAGCCCAGCGCAGCACCAAGTCATCTGGTGCGTCCAAGTAGGGGTCATTGAAGACTGTAACAGTATCTGACTCCACGAATGGTGTGATCTGTTGGGTTGAGCCATGTGGACATATGCGTGATTGTTCAGTGAACTACATACTTATGAGTGGAGTATTGAGCAGTAGTTGTGCAGTTTTTGCATAAAATATTCAGACAGTAAGTCTGTAGCAAGCATCTGTGCTCACCCATTGCTTCAGACTGATCTGGCTGGTCTCGCTCATATGCACGGCCTTGCGTGCCGAGATGACCACCAGCATCACCACACCAAAGCTGTTAAGACCAATCAGAAAGAGGGACAGGAGAATGGAGATTAATGTGAGACATTTCAGAGGAGCATTTCTATGCCCTACCCACATCACAAATGGAAGAAAAATACATTTCTATGCTCACACTTGCTGCTGGAGTGTTCCAATCACTCAAGTGGTAGCCACAGTTGGTTTCTTACTCAACTCGAAAGAAATATCTTCACCCGCTCACCTGTACACATCTGCTGCTGAAGTGGCCTTGTGGGACTTGTAATAGGCAGGGTCCACATAGCCCGGAGTCCCCATTACTCGAGTGGCAGCCACAGACGTGCCCATAGCGGTGCCTCCAGTGAGCTTTACCAAACCAAAGTCTGCAATCTTGGCCTGAACAACAGTTTGTACGCAAAATTAAGATAGTCAATTGCACCAAGTGCTTTCAATATGTCAAGACATGCTAGTAAAAGAAAAAACAAAATGTTAGGTTGGTGACTTGTCAAACAAAATGCAAGGAGAAAACATAGTTAGACGTACATGCATTTTTGCATCAAGCAGAATGTTGGCTGGCTTGATGTCGCGATGCACAATGCCGAAGTCATGAAGATATTGCAACCCCTTGGCCACTCCAATCAGAACATCCAGTCGTTGCAACAGAGAGAGATGACTTGGAGCTCCTAGGAAGGGGTAATGGAAGAATTGGTTCCAATGGGAATGTTATTGAATTGCTTGTCCCTAAGGAATGGACATTGTGATCTGAAGAAAGGGTTTGGAAGGCATGATACAAGGTATGCGGCACGGCAAGTGCAGGGCACATGGGCCACTCACGTCACACTCAGAAACTACTCCAAGATAATGGCTATCAAAGAGTATAATAAGACATCCATCATAGACAAGTGAAGTTTTATTACCTGGTCCAATCCAGCTCTCCAAGTCCCGGTTGGCCATGAACTCATACACGAGCACTTGCTCAATCTGGCCCGTGCTGGAATCATAGTGCACACAGAAGCCCAACAGCCGCACCAGGTTGGGGTGGTGCTTACTGGCCATCTCCTTCACCTGCAAGATGGGAGAGGAAAAACAAAAAGGGAGTAGGCAAGAGGAAGAGAGTGAAGTGAATGTGTTTATAATGGTGTATGCATGCATGTACAAGAATGGTACTGTAATGATGTCTGAATAAACTCAACAGCAAAATCCAAGTGCCAAATACATCACATGCGATATTGGGGAAAGTCGAAAAGGAAGAGGGCAAGAGGGAAAGTGTGTGTCTGTGTTTGACAAAGTGTGTGTGAGTGTGCGGGCGCGTAAACGCGCCTGAATGTGCATTTGAGTTTGGATGAATGTGTGTGTGTCCCTGTTTGTGTGTTTGTTGGCATTCAAAGAATGTCCAATAACAGCATTGCAACGTGTTCAGGGTATGAGGCCAGAAGACTCATCAGCACCATCTTGTACCTCAGTAAGGAAGTCACTGGATAGGACCCTGGATCGCTTCACAGCCCACATTTCATTGGGTTCATGCACTGACACGCCCTTGTACACATCTCCAAAGCTGCCGCTACCAATCCTGTTCCCCTCTGCCCAATCTCCCGTTGCGCTTGCGAGTTCTTCCAGAGTGAACTTCTGGCACACATGTGGCTGCACTGCCTCCATCTCCACCACCACGTCTCTCTCCATCACCCATTCCGCTGCTCCTGCAGCCACAGCCGCAGCTGCTGCAGCAGCAGCTTCTCCTTCTGGGTCCCTATTCTCTGCCTTGGATGCTGCGTTGGAATGATCAGGTTCCAAGTCTGTCAGAGGTGGTGAAGGAGACAAGAAAAAGATGAGGAATTGAATGTGGATGCGAACTTAGGGTCTGGGAGGAGGCTGTATTTCGAGCAGCGTAGACTGAAGGTCCTACCTTGGAGTGCACTTTCTTCATTTAAATCTTTGCCGTCCACATCTGTGCCTCCTGTTGCCCCTCTGGTGTGGTATCGTTTGCACATCAGCCAAATAAGCAGCAGCAGCACTAGGAAAGCCACAGCACCAGCAACAGTAATGCCAGCAATGGCTCCGTTGGATAAACCGCCTTCAGACTAGGGATGAGCAAAGGGCGAACACGAACATGTTCGTCTTCGCCCCTTGTCGAACACCCTCTTTTGCCGAACCGAACACTGTTCGGTTCGGCGAACAGTTTAGGAAAAAACAGGTGTTCGCTGTTCGCCTGTGGAGGCGTGTTCGGGCGAACCTCGAACACTGTTCGTGTTCGTCGCGGGCAAATTTCAGCAGCGGCCCGAACACGAACGTGTTCGGGCGAACATCGAACACTGTTCGGCGAACGATTTGAGCTAAAAAACAAAACCTGTTCGGTTCGCCTCGAACGTGTTCGAGGCGAACCGAACAGGTGTTCGCCACCTTGCTCATCCCTACTTCAGACTGGGTAGCAGATGCTGCAGGCTTACTAGGAGTTGGTGAGGGAGGAGGTGGGGAGGCTGTGGGCACTGGCGATGGGGAGGGTGTTGGCACTGGCGATGGGGAGGGTGTTAGCACTGGTGATGGGAGGTACATTTAAGGAGTAGGAAGATGGATATAGTGAATGGAAAAGGCTATCACACGTGGGAATAATGGTGGGATCGATGAAAAGGGATGTGGGAGAGAAAGCGAACGAACACTCTGAAAGGTTGAAAAAAAAAACAAATCAGCAAAAGCCACGAGGTATTCTTTGGTATTCTTCGGTATAAGTTGTGGATGCGTGACACCGCAGAAGTTTGTTCTGTAGATGGCAGTGTAGTGTTCATGCACTCAGCACAAATGAGAGCGTTGTCAGAAAGGCAATATTACTTGCAGCGACCCGCATAAAGTGATTGCATTTCACCTGGTTGTGGCTTGTCACAGGTGGTGCAGAAAGAGCTACACTGCTGGCAGAAAGCACTTGAAATGGTCTGTTTGACCACACAGCTGCTGTATTCAGGAGGGCATGCGATTGCCGTAAAATATGTGTCCCTGCATGTGCACATGGGGTGTTCTCAAACTAAGAACCAGAAACCGGTTTCAGCTCTGAACGAAACTCTTTGAGATTTCTAAAGGGAAGGTTTGGTGAGACATTACAATGCTATACTCTGCCAAGATGTTTTATTCGTAGAAAAACCCAGTAAACCATATATTGGTTTCCATGCATGTTAGGCAATAGGGAATGGCTTAACGTGGTCTCGACCCAACATCAGTTGTTGTGCCGAAACGGATTGAGCCGGGATAGTCATCACGACCTTTGGTACCTTGTATACCTCCTACTTATGGCTGTAACAGTACTAGCTCAGGTATACGAGCGAAACACATTGGCTCCTTTGTATAGCTCCTCCTCGTGATACGCTTTAACGAGCAATGATGGACATTGCAACAATTTAATCTGCATGCCTTACAAGGTTGAAAGACGAGTAAGATTGCCCATTGTTGGAGGGAGTTGGCCAGTGAGATTGTTTACACTTACAACACTGCAATGGAAATGTCAGATGATGTGTGCACCATCAAACGTTAGCATTTTGACACTAGATGTTCTATGGACAGATTGATCAACCCTTTATATTATTGTCAATGTCCATAAAAATGAACTCTGGAGGCTCAGTTAGGGGGCCTCATAACCTTGCCCATGTATCTTACCGCCTGGACATTTCGGGACCATATAGTGAGGCTAATGTGGAGAGATTCGCAGCAAATCCTCACCACTGTGAGTGGCGAGATGGACCAGCTCACAACAGTGACAGGTCGCTGTGGTCACACAGGAGGAATGACTGCATTCTCTCTCCACCAGTTCAAGGGCACCTTCCATCCCCAGTGGATCTCAATTCACATTCGCGCTGGTGCAGACTCCCTCCTCCTCATGCATAGCTTGTATGCTTGTTCTCAAAACAAGTTGCTCAAATCACACCATCAGAGGCCCCTGTATGTACGAATCTGTGCAAGGTCAGTTAGGGCTCTCTTTCTGGATTCCTTGCCGATACTCACAATCCGTCGAGGCTGCTCATTTTGCCGATGGTGGATGGAATAGACCCTCTCAGAGCGTTGATGCTAAGATCTCTGATGGTTAAGCAAGGAAAGTATATTGTGGGTGGAAATAAATGAAGACAACTTGTGCCTCATGGCAAGCATGCAAATGTGTACACATTTAGAAGCAGGAAAAAAGGATGTAGAGTACACTATGTTTGTGTTGGTGGAAAGGCACAGCAGGATACAACTATGACCTGAAACAGCTGTGCATGCACATTGCTTAAAACAGCATACTCCATCGCATAATGTCTTCACTGTTTGCATTTGAACAAATTGATTTTGTGAAGGAAAGTCTGTAGGCCAGCAGCGTTGACAAGACATTCTGTTTTTTTTTTTCTGTAGCGAAAAGGAGAGTTCAGGGATGGCTCAGATTTGACCAACGATGATGGCAGCTTGAGAATGGCTGGTCTGATGACTTTATTTGGGTATGATCAAACTGATGGGAGCCTATATATCGTGGCTTTGGGTCTTTGACCTTCGTTACGAGCTTCATTTCGTAGAATTTCACTTCCATTTGAACATGAGGAACAGCCAGAACATCCCTTTCCCATGTGTCTTGTCGCTTGGAAATTGCAAGACCCTATCATGAGGCTAATGTGCAGAGGTAGGCGGCAGACCCCAATACCAAGTAGATGGTGAGGCTTCTTCCATACTGATCCCAGTTAGCTACCCATGGCGGTCTAGGATGCTGCCTTTGTTGTAGAGATGAGCATTTGCCCCGCTCGGTCGGGTCAGCGGTTTCAATTGCCTGCCCCGTGCGGGCCGACCCGACCCGACCCGGGCCAAAACCCGACCCAAGCATGAGACTCAGGCCGAGTCGGGTCGGGTTTCGGGTCAGCTTTGACCCGACCTGAAATCGGGTCAAGATTTGGGAAATCGGGTAGGGTCAGACCCGACCCTATTTCGACACAGGGGGGACCCGAAACCCTAGCACATTCTATTTCAAGGGTATTTTTTTCCCCTCGACATCAATTCATTACCGCAAACCTAATATCCTTCCTCCAGCGACCAAAGGAACCTAGGAACCATAACTACTTAGTTTGCAGCCAAAGAATGATGCGACAAGTTAGAAGACGACTTTGTGGAGAGGCTTGATGTCGAGAGATTTGTAAAGAGTGGGAGGGGGAGGGTTGGAGGGGGAGGGTTGGGAATGGTAGATTTAATGCGGTAAGGAGTGGTGAGCAATGGCGAATTGGTTGGAAATATTTGTTCCAACACATTCGTCGGAAACGAGTGTCACGGCGAAACTCCCAATCTCCACCAGATCGACCAGCGAAATTGACAGAGTTACGCCAACCAACTCATCGATCTGCGCAGATCGGCGGACGAAAGCCCCGATCTGCGCAGATCGGCGGGAGAAATCGCCGATCCGCGCAGATCGGCGGGAGAAACCGCCGATCCGCGCAGATCGGCGGGAGAAATCGCCGATCCGCGCACATCGGCGGGAGAAATCGCCGATCCGCGCAGATCGGCGGGAGAAATCGCCGATCTGCGCATATCGGCGGACGAAAGCGCCGATCTGCACAGAGCACGGGCGAAATCGGGTTTCCTGACCCGACCCGACCCGAACTCGGGTAACCTCTGACCCGAGTTCTTAGGCCCGGGTCGGGCCAGCTGTTTCAGGAATCTGGCCCGAACCCGGCCCGACCCGACCCGACCCGAGGGCCCGAATGGCCCGGCCAAATCGGGTCGGGTCGGGCCACATGCTCAACTCTACTTTGTTGTGAATGTCCTGCATTCTGTGCGTTTTCTTTTCCAAAGAGAGAAAGCAAAGACGGATCTAAGAGAACATTGATGCATCATAAATGCAAAAAATGGACCACCCATGCTCGCATCTCAGTGCGTCTTCTCTCCCCTCACACGCAACTTAAGGCCGTGCTCAGTATGTGGCAAACCTTTAGGGGACTCCTAAAGAGGAAAATTGAAGACCAATTTATGAACACATTGACGCATCAAATACGCAGAAGATGGACTGCTCATGCTCGCAATCCAATGCGTCTCTCCCCTCACATACAGCTTGAGGCTGTGCTCAAGTATGTGGAAAACCTTTAGGGGACAGGGAAATTGAAGACCAATTTAATAGCACATTGACTCATCAAAGACGCAAAAGATGGGCTACTCATGCTTGAAATTTATGCCTTTCACTACAACATGACCAAGGGCAGGTTCCCTTGTGATTGTGCCAAACTGGTTTATCAAAGGTCAAACGGTGCCCTGACTTTCACCGGCCAGCCCGCACTACTTGAACTGTTCTGATGTCAGACTGCTTGAGTCGTTTTGGTCCTCAGTGAGAAGGTACATGCCTGGAAAACCAGGCTGCTTCAATCCCGTGGCCCATGACAAACCCCACCACTGCTGCCAGACAAGGGCACAAGACACCCGACACATATTATCCCGCAATGTGTCAAACTGGGAGCTCAATTTTGCGTTCAATGACAAGTACAGGCCTGAGCTGACAACTGAGTCAAGCAGAGCCAGCAATCCTGCTCTGCCAGCTGACCCCGAGTTATCGAGCTGGCCCGACAAGCCGAGACCCGGCTTGCCGGCCCGTTGAACTTATTCTTTCACCAGCCGGCCACAAACTGGTCGAACTCAGCTGGCCCGAACTGGGCAAGAATATGCTTGATAATCCAGGCTGGTTGTCTGGCAGACCAAGATGGCCCTTGAGTCCTGTGGGATATATATAAACCTTGAATTGAGATAGCTGGAGCTCATTCTTTTACTTCCACCTTTTTTGAAACACGGGTCCAAGATGACACTTGAGTTAAGACAAGCTGGCAATCCGAGTATCAACTGGCTGAAATCAAACCGATCTCGACGAGCAAATCCAAAGCTGAAATGCAAGATTCACCCGAAGCAGTAAAATACCAAAACCGTGTAAGCAATGCCTGCTTGTCTATAATGGACGAGCCACGAGCAGGTGTTCGCCACCTTGCTCATCCCTACTAATGAGCAGGTGTTCGCCACCTTGCTCATCCCTACTAATGAGCAGAGATCGACAGTAGACCCCCGGTACCCAAGAGGTCACCACTCTAATTTGCGGCCTGGACTGGTGAAATTTCACATGGGCGGGAGAGATTTCCCTCGTATCTGCTGTGCCAATGATGGTCACCGCCATGCACCGTCTCCTTCCCCAGCCAGGGCTAAAGTGCACAGTGCTTCAGCCATGTGGGCAAAAGTGTACTTGGTTAGCAAAGCCTCAACTCCTCTTTTTCTCAGCAGCCGTCAGCCCCTGCTCAGCTGTCATCACAGTGCTGAGAAAAGGTGTGAATAGCAGCACGCGAAGCGTAGGTCTGCCAACCAGGACGGACCCCACATTAGCCAGCCGTTGCTGCAGCTGCAAAATCTGTGGCAGTGGCGGGCTCTGCAGCAAATCCAGCCCTAGCAAAGATTCCCCTGGTGATGGAGACATCGGCGCAGCAGGGGAATTGCTGGAATCTCCCCACGAATTCCACCCCGAATGGATCTCGAGTCAAATATGTGCTGGTGCATATGCTCCCTCCTCACACGAAGCTTCCTATGGGACCATCACGAGTTATGAACCACGGCAATGGGCTTCCATTCTTCCTGCCACAGATCTGCACACTCGACCCACTGCTGCCACCTCCCTTGGTCCCGAACGCACCTGTCTCTCGTGGGTGAACTTTCCCCTGTCCACATTTCCTCATAGGACACAGCCACCGCCACTGGTGCCATGCCAGCCTCCTTGTGGACGAGCAAGCTGAAGCTGTAGCGGAGAGGATGGAGCTTGTGGCTATTGCAGGCTCAGGAGGAGGCCAGCAAGTTGCTCATGAGCTCCCACATGCTTGTGGAACACGTTCAAAACTGCCCTTTCTGCATGTACCGCTTGTCGATCTCAGCCTCGCAATTACTAGCCCGGCCTGTTGGGTCAGCTTGCTGCAGAACATTCATGTACAATGACTAGTTGTATCATGGACTGAGCCCAACAGCTAGTCGCCTTGCTGCAGATCTCTGGCAAACTTGTTGTAGAACTGACCTACCATAGGCACCCCCCCCCCCAGGCCCTGGGTTAGAAGGCTAGCTCCACCCAGTGCCAGCCCGTGGTCATGCCTAGCATGTATGCTCGTTCTCAAATCAAGTTGACTTGGTGTCGCCATCGCAGTCCCTCTAATTTCTGAACATGTGCGACGTCATGTTGGCTCTCTTTCCTATTCCCTTCACGATACTCACAATGTCTCGAGGTTGCTCAGGCTACCGATGGTGGATGGAATAGACCCACTCAGAGAATTAAGGGAGAGAGACCTAATGATACAATGTATGAAGGGTGTACGGGCGCACAGGAACATAGAATACAGCAAGAAAACAATACCTCAATTTATTGACAAATGAGTATGGCTGCATATGTATGAGGCGGATACGAGCAAGCCATTGCTACAGAGCGCATGAAAAGGGTGCCATGAATCTAATAAAAAAAATAGAGCTGAAC